TTGGCAGACGTGAAAAAGAGTTGTTGCATTGGTTAACTGTGACTGATGTCTTAATGTGTATGGTTTTTTCCCCACCTTAAAACGAAGGAGATCGACAGCATAAATAAAATAAACCGGGAGTATCAATCTGTTAGGGTCCATCAGAAATTTCTTGGGTAAAATTTAATCAGAGGTTGTGTTTACTTATCTGTCTCAACTTGTGATAACCAAACTATTTTCCACTTTGTGACTGGGGAACAGGAAGGTCTTTCTTCGGCCTCGCTTATGCGAGTGGGAATTTTTAAAAAAATCTTCTATAATGAGTGCTTCCCCAGGAGATGGAACGGGAGAAATTATATGCAGTGAAAAAAATAAAAAAAGGAAAGAGGCACATCAATTTTCATATACCCCACTGGTGGGATGGTGTTTCTTTTTCCTTCATTTGTTGAATTATTTTGGGAATTAGGCTTGGAAAAGGTGTCGGATAAAGGGGGCATGGAGAACCGGGGAAGGATATTGTAAGGGCTAATTCAACGATGAAGGTTATTGTATGACACATTTGATGATTCTCTTCTATGGAAATTAGGACTAGATGCTTGCATTTAATTCTGTGTCTGCATGTGTGTGTCCTTGCAAAACAGGAAGACCTATAGAAGAGGAGTTTTGTAGCTCAGGATTCAACTGTGGAGTCTTTGGTGTTCCCTGAACTTGTTTGTCTTCTTGTAGACAATTTCATGACCCCACTAGGTAGCATCATCAGTGCTAGAAGAGAGCTGTCAGGTTTCCATGGATGCCCTAATTAAATCATGAGCCTGGAGTCCTAATCAGACCCTGTTTTCCCCCTCCCCCAGGATGTGTCATCAATCACATTCGCCAATAGAGCAATTTCGTGGGTTGTAGAGATCACTCCCTTCCGGTTTCTGTAGGTAAGCCTGGGAGACAGCCTTGAGAAAGATATGTCTGGAATGTGCTCCTGTCTTGGGCTGCCTTGTTGCTTCATCAGTTTCCCTTCCTCCTTGCCTATGGCAACTCGAGAGCAGGCCAGGGATGCTTTGCGAGTTGACAGGAGCAGGGTTTGCAGAGATGACAATGGGATGATAATGATATAATGGAGGAGGAGGAGGAGGAGGAGGAGGAGGAGGAGGAGGAGGAGGAGGAGGAGGAGGAGGAGGAGGAGGAGGAGGAGGAGAACTGTGAGGTCCTTGGTTCTTTCTGAGCTTGGTTGTTTTCTTCTTGCATATGCTTAATTGCCCAACTAGGTTGGGCAATTAAGATTGCCCAAAATCTGATCAGCACTGATGAAGCTACTAAAGGTATCTTCATGAAGGCTTCAGCCAAGAAAATCCTCTGCAAAGCCTGGAGGAAACAGAGAAGTTTTTTTCTCTAACAATGATTGCTAAGGTTTTGTGGGAAACTACTTGTAAGTGTTCAAGGCACATCTGTCTGATGCACAGGAGAAAACAGTGTTTCTTGATCTTCGCAGCTTTGCAATGTGTGGACTAAAGAAGGAGAGAAACAACTTAGAACTAAGGAGGAATTTCCTGACAGTGGGAACAATTCATCACTGGAACAACTTGCCTGCAGGAGTTGCGAATGCTTCAACACTGGAAGTTTTTAAGAAGATGTTGGATAACCATTTGTCTGAAGTGGTGTAGGGTTTCCTGCCTAAGCAGGGGGTTGGACTAGAAGACCTCCAAGGTCCCTTCCAACTCTGTTATTCTGTTAAAAATTTACATTGGGTTTTGAGTCAGTGAACCATCGTTTCCTTCTTAAATTTAAAGACGTTTTTAGGGTTGCTGTGTTCTCTGAAAGTTATTATCATTCTAGTCGTTGCTGCGTTCTGTGCTTTTGTTTGGCTGACCGCGATAGGCAGTCACATATTGATTTACAAATAACCACAGTTAAAAGCCATTTCTGCCTTTTGACCAAACTCAACCCTCTAGGCCAGAGGTCTGCAACCTTAAACACTCAAAGAGCCATTTGGATCCATTTCCCACAGGGAAAAAAGAACACCGGGAGCCACAAAACCTGGTTGGGCGTGGCCAACTCCACGTCACTCACTTCCACCAGTCACATGACACCCCCTTAGCCACGCCTACCCAGCCGGTTATCAGGGCAAAGAACCAGTTGTTTAAAAACACCAGGAACCACAAAATCCTTTTGACATATCTCTCTCTCCCTTCCTCCCTCTCTCTCCCTCTCTCTGTATCTCTCTATGTCTCTCTCTCCCTCTCTCTGTATCTCTCTATGTCTCTCTCTCCCTCTCTCTGTATCTCTCTATGTCTCTCCCCCTCTCTCTGTATCTCTCTATGTCTCTCTCTCCCTCTCTCTGTATCTCTCTATGTCTCTCCCCCTCTCTCTGTATCTCTCTATGTCTCTCTCTCCCTCTCTCTGTATCTCTCTATGTCTCTCTCTCCCTCTCTGTATCTCTCTATGTCTCTCTCTCCCTCTCTCTGTATCTCTCTATGTCTCTCTCTCCCTCTCTCTGTATCTCTCTATGTCTCTCTCTCCCTCTCTCTGTATCTCTCTATGTCTCTCTCTCCCTCTCTGTATCTCTCTATGTCTCTCTCTCCTCTCTCTGTATCTCTCTATGTCTCCCTCTCTCTGTATCTCTATGTCTCTCTCTCCCTCTCTCTGTATCTCTCTATGTCTCTCTCTCCCTCTCTCTGTATCTCTCTATGTCTCTCTCTCCGTCTCTCTGTCTCTCTCTATGTCTCTCCCCCTCTCTCTGTATCTCTCTATGTCTCTCTCTCCCTCTCTCTGTATCTCTCTATGTCTCTCTCTCCCTCTCTCTGTATCTCTCTATGTCTCTCCCCCTCTCTCTGTATCTCTCTATGTCTCTCTCTCCCTCTCTCTGTATCTCTCTATGTCTCTCTCTCCCTCTCTGTATCTCTCTATGTCTCTCTCTCCCTCTCTCTGTATCTCTCTATGTCTCTCTCTCCCTCTCTGTATCTCTCTATGTCTCTCTCTCCCTCTCTCTGTATCTCTCTATGTCTCTCTCCCTCTCTCTGTATCTCTATGTCTCTCTCCCCCTCTCTCTGTATCTCTCTATGTCTCTCTCTCCCTCTCTCTGTATCTCTCTATGTCTCTCTCTCCGTCTCTCTGTCTCTCTCTGTCTCTGCCCTGCTTCTCCATCCCCCATCGTTGCCCTTACCTTCTCAGGCCAGGCGAGGAATGACTGGGAGGGGAGGGAGAGGAGTGGGGCCAGCCAGTGGTGGGATCACCCGACAGGGAGCCACAGCAGAGGGCCCAAAGAGCCACATGCGGCTCCAGAGCTGCAGGTTGCTGACCCCGGCTCTAAGCAGAAACACACACCAATTTGTGAGGGCAACACCCTTTCCAATCTTGAATTCATACGTTTTCCTTTTTTCCCAAATGCCGATCAGCTTTCTTTCCTTGCTTACCGCGGCTCTGAATGTGTATTGCTTTCATTTTTCTGAATTTTCGGCTATTGAAAACAACCCTCTTCACCATATGCCGCTGGTCTTCGAAGCCAGGAAGGGAGAACTCCCTTATCACCACAAGGGTCTACTTGGTGTAAATTATGTTTACGGTGTTCCATTTGCGCAAATAAGATTTGCCCTTCTGACTCTCAGAAACGTTTCTTCCCCCCGGCCTTGATCTTGGCAAGCAAATGTTCTTGAACTTGTAAAGAACGTTGCTCGAAAATTGCAAAGGATCACAACATCCATGGCTTCTCTAAAAGGTAAAAGACTCCCCAATAATTTTCTCCCTTGGAGTCCCTTTTTTTCGGTAGGAATGCTTGCAGCAGATTAAGCCTCGAGTTGATTAAATAAAGCAGTGTCTAACAAGGGTAATCCAGAGATAATTTCAGTCATTTAAACACGGTTTCATCACCACCAAGTAGGGTTTTTTTTTTTTTTTTCCTCCCTTCTATTTAACTGTCTTAATTCTTTTACCGCTTTCTGCTTTGCAAATTGGCTCAGATAAAGGAATTGACATTCAGCCCTCATTTCTGTATAAAGTTCATTTTGGCTTTGTTTAAAAAAAAAACACACACACACAACCAAACCCCACAGCTCTGGAGTGAAGGAAGGAAAACCCATGTGGAATGCGGTAGAAAGAAAACTTTTCTGGTGTTTTGTTCCTAGACTTCTTCCTTCTTTTTCTTTTTGAATGTACCTGGGAATAGATCTCCAGCCTTTCCCTCCTAGTAGAAACACCCTGATCTGCTCCTAATCTCCCTCCAGATCAGTGATGGAATTCAAAATATTTTACTACCGGTTCTGTGGGAAGGAAGGAAAACAGGGTGGAAGGAAGGAAGGAAGAACAGAAAAGAAAGAAAGAAAGAAAAAAGAGAGAGAGAGAGAGAGAGAAGAGAGAGAGAGAGAGAGAGAGAGAAAGAAAGAAAGAAAGAAAGAAAGAAAGAAAGAAAGAAAGAAAGAAAGAAAGAAAGAAAGAAAGACAGGAAGGAAGGAAGGAAAACAGTGAGGAAGGAGGGAAGAAAGGATGGAAAACAGTGAGGAAGGAAGAAAAGAAAGAAAGAAAGAAAGAAAGAAAGAAAGAAAGAAAGAAAGAAAGAAAAAAAGAAAGGGAGGAAGGAAGAACAGGAAGGAAGGAAGGAAAACAGTGAGGAAGGAGGGAAGAAAGGAAGGAAAACGGTGAGGAAGGAAGAAAAGAAAGAAAGAAAGAAAGAAGGAAGGAAGGAAGGAAGGAAGGAAGGAAGGAAGGAAGGAAGAACAGGAAGGAAGGAGGAAAGGAAAAATAGCAAGGGAGGGAAGAAAGGAAGGAAAACAGTGAGGAAGGAAGAACAAAAAGAAAGAAAGAAGGAAGGAAGGAAGGAAGGAAGGAAGGAAGGAAGGAAGGAAGGAAGGAAGGAAGGAAGGAAGGCAGGCAGGCAGGCAGGCAGGCAGGCAGGCAGGCAGGCAGGCAGGCAGGCAGGCATAATTTTGAAAAGCCCAAAGATCAATTCATCTTAAATTATAAACCAAATATCATTCCCAACAATGAACCCAGATTAAGCATAAAACAGCTCAATTTTTTTCCAGTGGGAATGACAGAAACCATTGCTGATGGACTAATTAAGTCCATTATTCGGCTTTCTTAGAGTCACGACTAGAGAACGCTGCGATGTGATTCGAGACTTTCCCTTTGAAAATACAAAAGGCAGCAATTATCCCTCAGCTGTCTATACATTTCTTTTTTTTCTTTTTTTTCATCCTAGCTGATCAGCATGAATACTTTTCAAACATTTATTTCATTGTTTTAATCCAATTAAGTTTTGCCTCTGTTCTTCCAAGAAGGGGTTTGCATCTTTAATTGCTTGACGGAAGGAAGCTACGTTCTCTCCAAAGTTAGAGCAGATAGGAAGCGATGGGGAAAATTCGGAGGGCTAATACTTCTCTTCATTCTGGAGGAGTGAAAATGCAGAAGGAAGAAAACCTCAGCAGCAATGGAAGCAACAACCAGAAAACAACCCAGCCTGTCAAATTTTACAGCGCCGGATTAAGGCCAACTGGTGCCTTAAGCCAGCGGTGAAATCTACCTACCTTCCTTTTACCGGTTCAGAAGTGCACGCACTGCACACCTTCAGAAGTGCATGCACTTAGTGTATAGAATATATTAATAAAAATTATATATATATAAAAAAAAGAAGAAGTGCATGCATGTGCACATGACATGTGTGACATGTGTGACATGTGTGACATGTGTGCGTGCACCTTCTGAGCATGGGTAAAACCTTCTGCGCACACAGAAGGTTAAACCAGGAAGTAATGACACCCGGTGGCAAATCGCTACCGGATCGCTGAACCACAGGGAAAAATCACCACCGGATCAGGCGATCCGATCCGATCCGGGAGCATTTCACCCTTGCCTTAAGCACAGCTCAACAATGGCGTCTCTCAACAGAAGCAAAATCCCCATGCCATGAAATTGCGGGGGGGGATGTGGTATCTTGCACCTTCAAACCAAGCTTTTCAATTTTAGTCTTCGCCGTGCCAAAGAAGTCTCCATTGTGGATGTAAGGCGAGGATTACCTGTATTTGCCTACCCCGGGTCCTTGGCAAGGATTCTTTGGTGGACAAAAATGCCAAATCTAATCTGGTTGATCTGTACAATGAACAATAATAACGGTGCAATCCCAAAACAACTGGAATGACAGAATAACAGAATTTGGAAGGAACCTTGGTCCAACCTCCAGCTCAGACAGGAAACCCTATACCAGTGATGGCTAACCTTTTTGCCATCGCATGCCAGGAAGGGGGGGGAAGTTCACGTGCGTGTGTGCCCACACCCATAATTCTATGTGCCCCGCCCCACGCCCGCTTCTGGCATGCGATGGCCCAGTAGGCCTGTTTTTCTTTCTTACCTGGCTCCAGATCCTCTCTATGCATCTGGGGAGGGCGAAAACAGCCTTCTCCACCGCCTCAGAGGTCCTCCAGAGGCCCAAAAGGGCCCGTTTTCCAACTTTCGGTTAGACAGGAAGTGACATTTTTGCTGTCCCCAGCCTCCAGAGTCTCCTAGAGAGGCTGAGAGCTGAGCCGGCGTGCCAGGAAACATGGTTCCGTGTGCCGCCTGTGGCACGTGTGCCATAGGTTCGCCATCACGGCCCTATACCATTTCAGACAAATGGTTGTCCAATCTCTTCTTAAAAACTTCCAGTGATGGGGAAGGAAGGAAGGAAGGAAGGAAGGAAGGAAGGAAGGAGGGAGGGAGGGAGGGAGGGAGGGAGGGAGGGAGGGAGGGAAGGAAGGAAGGAAGGAAGGAAGGAAGGAAGGAAGGAAGGAAGGAAGGAAGGAAGGAGGGAGGGAAGGAAGGAAGGAAGGAAGGATAACAGAGTTGGAAGGGACCTTGGAGGTCTTCTAGTCCAACCCCTTGCTCAGGGAGGAAACCCTACACCACTTCAGACAAATGGTTGTCCAATCTCTTCTTAAAAACTTCCAGTGTTGGAGCATTCACAACTTCTGGAGGCAAGCTGTTCCACTGATTAATTGTTCCAAATGTCAGGAAATTTCTCCTTAGTTCTAAGTTGCTTCTCTCCTTGATTAGTTTCCACCCATTGCTTCTTGCCCTGCCCTGCCCTCAGGTGCTTTGGAGAATAGGTTGATTCCCTTTTCTTTGTGGCAGCCCCTGAGATATTGGAAGACTGCTATCATGTCTCCCCTAGTCCTTCTCTTCATTAAACTAGACATACCCAGTTCCTACAACCGTTCTTCATATGTTTTAGCCTCCAAATCCCCTAATCATCTTTGTTGCTCTTCTCTGCACTCTTTCTAGAGGCTCAACAACTTTTTTTACATCGTGGCGACCAAAGCTGGATGCAGCACCACCTGAACATCATCGGCATTGACCAAATCATCACCAGTCAATTGCAAAAGGCGGTTTTGCTGGGAATTGCAAAAGGCAATTTTTTTACTGGGAATCCTGCGATGAGGCCTTTAACACAATCAGGTATGCCAGGTTTCCTGGGAAGGACTGGATAGGTAGATAAAAGTGCCCCATCCAATCTGAACTTCGGGCTGACTTTGTGACTAGCCGTAGCCACCCCGTGAAAAACCTAATCCTGATGTGGATTTAGCAGAAAGCATCCACTCACTTTTGATTTATAGTTTAGAAAGGAAAGACGTGCCTGCCGCAAGCAAGAATATTTTTGCATATATAATTGCTTCTCTCAGCAGCAGCATGTCGGGAACTCTCTCTTTGAACTAGCACCGTGGCCTTCCTAAAAAGGATCTTAGGAGGGATGCAGACAATTATGGAGAGGCCATCTTTAGATAGTCCTCACCATGACTTCATGTAAGAGTACATTCTATGGAGAACCAGAAGGAGAGGATGAATACCTGTCATTTCCTGTTTACAAAGACGTAGGAATGGAAGGGGGCCTCTCTTTGTTCGAAGAATATTTGAATACTCAGTTCTCCTAAGTCAATAACGGTGGTAAGATCGTCTGTTCTTCTTACATTCTTTGCTTTCATGTTGGGTTGTTTGTTTGTGTAGTTTTAAATGCTAAACAAATAATTCCCTCAACCCTGTCAAACTATTCACTAAGTCTGCACTACTATTAATCTTCTCATCATTCCCATCACCCACCTCCTTCCACTTATGACTGTATGATTGTCACTTTGTTACTGGTATCCTTACGATTTATATTGATATTGTTTCCTGATTGCTTATTTGTTCCCTATGACTATCATTAAGTGTTGTACTTTATGATTCTTGATGAACATATCTTTTCTTTTATGTACACTGAGAGCGTATGCACCAAAGACAAATTCCTTGTTCTATTCTGTTCTGTTCTGTTCTGTTCTGTTCTGTTCTGTTCTATTCTATTCTATTCTATTCTATTCTATTCTATTCTATTCTATTCTATTCTATTCTATTCTATTCTATTCTATTCTATTCTATTCTCAGCGTAGTCCAAATTAATTCAAAACAAATTCGTCATAACACAAATTCTTCAGCCTTATCACCAACCTTGGTCTAATTAGGCAAACTGCCAAAGGCTTTTCTTGGCAAAAGTTCAGAAGCAGAAGACGCCGACAAGAAATAAATGCAGCAAGACAAGAAACAAATCTATCAACGTTGTTTTCCGACAAAGAGCTCAAGAGCCGTTGCTGGTCTTTTAAGCCTTATGGGAGGGGCCAATCATCTCTTGGCCTTACTCCCGAGTCGTCCTCTTTGCTTTATCTGCTCCTGCCTTCTGGCAGCTCTTCTCATGCGTGCACTAGGAACAGGCTCCTCCTGTTCCTCTGCCTCTCTGCTGTCAGCCTCTGGAGGCTCAGGAGTCCGCACATCACTCCCAGATGGCCCTGGCCCCATCTCTGCCTCTGACGCAGAGCCCTCATCCGGGCCTTCCCCAGCCTCCAGGACTGGCCCCTGTTCTTCCTCAGCCTCATCGCTGTCCGACTCCGCTGCCAGCTCCGCAGGCTGCTGGCGGACCACAACACAGCCCACCCCTGACTCTGAGAACTTCCAGGGAGGAGCCGTCTTAACTCTCTTTCTCCCAACCAAATGATTTAAACTTTGCTGTCTCTTGGTCCCCGGGAATCCAGACCACATTTCACCACACCATTGAAGTCTTTAATGTTAGGCACCGCCATCTTTTTTCCAATTCTCCTTTCAAAGTTGGTGGACAGGGGCAGAGGGATCTGGGAGGGAGGGGGGACATAATTTATCTGTGTGTCTCCAGGACTGAATTCTCCTTTAGTGGGAATAGGAATAAAGAACTACTAAAATAGACCTGATTTCTTTATATAAATGACAGCAGAAACCACAAAGGCTACAAATCCCGGAGAGAAGGCTATTCAACGAAAACAAGGCCCTTGCAGACACTTATTTTTTTTTTTTAATTTGATTTATATGCCGCCCTTCTCCGGAGACTCAGGGCGGCTTACAATGTGCTCAGCAATAGCCTTCATCCTTTGGTATATTTATACAAAGTCAGTTTATTGCCCCCACAACTGGGTCCTCAATTTACCTACCTTAGAAAGGATGGAAGGCTGAGTCAACCTTGAGCCTGGCGAGATTCAAACCTGCAGTAATTGCAGGCATCTGGTCTTAATAACCAGCTTAATAACAGGGTGCCTTAGACCACTGTACTACCAAGGCTGTTGGTAGTACAGCTCTTGGCCCAGAAGTTACCTCTGGGATGAGGTAACTTCTGGGTTACCTCATCCCAGAATAAAGAATGCCACATTCTCCTCATGAAAATTTCTCTTCCCAGTGCGGTTTATTCATTATATCTTCCCTTTTTATTTTAATCAGACACTCGGATAACCTTTTGCTACTTGCAAACGTGCAGAAAGATTACCTGGCATTCAGATGCATCCTGCTACTTCGGCCTGCTGAATTCCAGAAAAGGACAAAGAGCTTTGCATTTACCAGGCAAGGTCACAAGAAAAACAGAATAAAATAAAACTAGCTAAACGAAACTGCCTCTACTGTCTCTCTTTTTTTTTTTCCCCAACAACTTTCCCATGAATATCAGTCTGGTTTGATGTATATCTTTAAGGCAAAGCAACGCTTTGCTACAAAGCAGTTAAAAAAACAATGTGAATCAATGCGTGAATATTCAAATCTCTATTAATTGATGCCTGTAACCCAAAGAATAAACAAAATGGGGGTTGTTTGTTTACCTCCCCATTCGCTTTTTAAATAAATGCGGATTTGAAGCCAGCCTCTAATTAATTGCGACACCACTCAACGCACATTTAACCGAACCAATTCCATATTCTCGGGACAATCCTGTCGATGAAATATATATATATATATACTCTGTGTCTTCCCTTAAATTCTCATTAATTTCATTCGAGGGCAATAGATTTTTATACACGGCACGCAGCGCAAGTCCAGAAGGTTGATTTTTCATAATGAGAAGTACCACACTGCGTTTTTGGAGGCCGGCTGGATGGGCAAGCTCCTCTTTAGCGTGGTTCCAATTATAGTCATTTTGATCCAAATCTCTTCCAATTATTGCAATTTTGATCCGCACCGTTGCTTTTCCAGGGACTAAAATAGCCAAGATAAAAAACGTAGGATTCACACAGCACGGTGGCTTATTCGCCTTACTTACCAATCCTCAGCGAATGGGGGCTAGCAGCTATCTTCATTAACCATACCAACAAGAGCACCAAAGGCAACAAGATCCAGGACATCTTCTATAAATCCTCATGGATCCCTGCAGTGATCTGGGCATGACATAACTCTGGAAAGAGAAAGAGGAAAAACCCCAAAATGATGAAAGTGGCTTGATGCCAGGACAAAATTTAAGAGACCAGTTTATGACAGAAAGAGGGTGACTCAATCTTTGGATACTTCCAGATCTAAAGAGTTCAGTGTCTAAGCTCAGGTGATCAAGTCAGTCCTTGTTGTGGCCCATATGCGGCCTGTGCAGCTAGTAGCTGATTCAGACAGTGAGGAGGCTGGTGTGGTGCTGCGTCAGCAGCCTGTGCAGCTGGCACTCGAGTCGGACAGTGAGGAGGCTGGAGAAGATGTGGTGCCAGAGGCGGGGATTCAGCCAGGGCCTTCAGAACCTCCAGAAGCTCCCATAAGTGAAGAGGATGAAGAGGAGGAGCCTCTTCTCGATGCATGGGCGTGCAGAGCTGCCAAAAGGCAGGAGTGGCTCCTCAGGAGGAGGTCTCCTCGAGAGTAAGGCTTGGGGCTAATTGGCCACTCCCTTAGCCTATTTAAGGAGGAACGCCGACTGAAGCAATTTGCAGGGAACAACTTCGTTCACTCTCCTTCGTGCCTTGATTTTAGTTCTCTGCAAATTGCTTCTGGGCTTTCTGCCAACCATAGTAAGATTAAGATTATTGATTCTTTGGATTCTTGCAGGCTGTTAAGAAAGTTAATTAACAGCCATTGTTTGAAGAAAAAACTGATTTTATTTTAGTAAACTAAGGTTTGTACAGACTTTGTGTGTGCTGCGTTCTTTGGGGTCCGTAGCTGGGGCAATGCAACAGCTCTAGGTTGCATTTCTCAACCCCACCATGGGCCAAGAGGCTTCTATCTAACATTGATGGAAACCAAGCAAAGATGGAGAGGGATAAATAGAACATAAGAGAACGACAGAATTGGAAGGGACCTTGGAGGTCATCTAAACCAACCCCCGCTCAAGCAGGAAGCCCTATACCCGTGATGGAGAACCTATGGCACGTGTGCTCCAGGTGGCATGCAGAGCCCTTTCTACGGACATGCCAGCCGTCACCCTAGCCCAGCTCCACCACACATGCATGTGCACCTCCCGCTGGCCAGCTGGTCTTCGGGTCTCTGCTGCGTATACACGGGGTGGGGGGCACATGCACAGGGGTGCTTGTATTGCATTTTGGGGGTTTGGGCATGGGCATGTGCATTCGCACATTTGCGCGCACGCTTTGGGCACTTGGCACCAAAAAGGTTAATCATCATTGCCCTATACCATTTCAGACAAAAACGGCTGTCCAACCTCTTCTTAAAAACTTCCAGTGTTGGAGCATTCACAACTGCTGGAGGCAAGTTTTTCCACTGGTTAATCGTTCTAACTGTCAGGAAATTCCTCCTTAGTTCTAAGTTGCTTCTCTCCTTGATTCGTTTCCACCCGTTGCTTCTTGTCCTGCCTTCAGGTGCTTTGGAGAGTAGCTTGACTCCCTCTTCTTTGTGGCAGCCCCTGAGATATTGGAAGACTGCTATCATGTCTCCCCTGGTCCTTCTCTTCACTAGACTAGCCATGCCCAGTTCATGCAAACATTGTTTGTATGTTTTAGACTCCAGTCCTCTGGAAGAGAGAGTGGGGGAGAGAGAGAGAGAGGGAGGAGGGGGGGAGAGAGAAAGGCAGGGAGGGAGGGGGAGGGAGGGAGGGGGAGGGAGGGGGAGAGAGAGAGAGGGAGAGAGGGAAGGAGAGAGAGAGGGAGGGAGGGAGGGAGAAAGAGAGAGGGAGGGAGGGGGAGGGAGAGAGAGAGAGAGAGAGAGAGATGTTCCAATGTAATGATCTCCATGGCCCTTTCCACTTGTCTATTCCAAACAGTGACACAGTTTGATCATCTCATCTCTCTAATCAACCCACAGAAGGTTTCGTGTGCAGCGTAACCCTTTTGAAGCCTACTCCGATTCACCTCTCTCTACAGGACCAACTCTGAATCTTGACCTGCTGGGAGAAGATCAATCCGTTGCAATGCCCACAGAATCATTAGCATTCCCCCTCCCCACCAAAAAAACCCAACACAAAGGAATAGTTCAAAGACCACCTTTTTGTTCAGGGCATATTCATGCATGCATTGCTTTTGATTGTTGCTGATCATCTACCTGCCCTTTGAAAACCTGAACTGCCACCCTTTGCCAAGGAGCAAAAACCCAGTCAAGTCAACCCACCATGTTTCCAAAAAATGAAAGGCAGGAGATGCCCTCATTATCATTCCCAGGGTATCAGATACGTCAAGCTAATAAGAACAAGGGTTGCTGCTTGTATAATTACTTAAGAGCCATTTTCTTCCATTTCTTTACACTGCTTGGCAAATAGAGTGAAAGAGAAAATCCAAGGAGGAGGAGGAAAAAAAAACCCTTATATTCAAAACATGGCAGCAAATGATGAAGATCAGATATGTCCCAATAGAAGAGAAGAGATGTTCAGACTGGAACATGTCCCCTCCAGGAACCAAGATCCAGATAAGCAGGGATTAACACCAGACAAACAATCAAACAAACAGAAAACAATACCTTCTGTTAAGTAACTACCAAGGGAAACTTCAACCAAAACTGCCAGGAAGTAAATTCCATGCCTCCCACACACTAATTATGTTACTTAGTTGGATAATGAAACATCTGCAGGTCAATGACCACCAAGGATTCCACACATCCTCTCCAACAGCCAAAATCCAGAGAAGCAGGGATTAACACCAGACAAACAATTAAGCAGAAAACAATATCCACATCAAGGAACTTCCAAGGAGAAAACAACAACTCTAGCAACACTGACAGGGCAAGTTTGCTCCATAAACTACAGACTCACTTGTACTGATGATGTACAAGTTGGGTAACAAAACATCTGCATGCAAATAACCAAACTCAGAGAATGCAGACGACTCCATGATGAGTTATGTTTCTAGATTATCCTTCCCTTCCAAACCTGCCTGGCATTGTTCAGAAATTTATCATCTCTGCTCCCTTAACTCATAGAAAACACCTCACGGGCTAATTCAAATATTCTACATTCTCTCCCTAATTAATTTTTGTCTTAAGGCCTCCTTGTACGGGTTGGAGTTTTCAAAGGCTGGGAGTGACTATTACGTGTAATTTCCCAACTTCAGCCCCTCCATTTCATGTAATAATTTGCACTAACCAAACAGGCATTTCATCACCGGCGTCGGAAGACAAATGGATTCTGTGGAAAAAAGTGCCTCCAGTTGCAATTCTTTCGGAGTTTTACAAATGGAGGCGAAATTCACAACGGTCAGAAAAGGCCGGATGGGAAACTGAATTAAGGCTGGAGAAGATCATGATTGATGGCTCGGAGGAGGAGGAGGACGACGAAGGGATGCCTCTGCCTAGGAAAACGCAGGGAGCGAGCTGACAGTTGAAAAACCCGGGCTGTTAACTTTAGCTACCAAAAGTTTCCAAAGAGCGTCACAGTCCTGAGGCGACAGTTGATAAATGAGGCAGAGGAAAGGAGGGGAAATCCCCCTCCCACACACCATCCTGCAAAGTGTCGGTAATTACAATGAAGCCACCAGGGTACCACTGGGCAATCGAACAGGAGAAGCTCCGTGGATACAGCTCATGAGAGCAGGAGAAGGGAGCCTCTTAGAGTAATATTTTCAGTAACTAGGAGATTACAGATTAACAGAGTTGGAAGGGACCTTGTAGGTCATCTAGTCCAACCCCCACAAAGCAGGAGACCCTACCCCATTTCTGACAGATGGCAGTCCAGTCTCTTCTTGAAAGCCTCCAGTGATGAAGCTTCCACAACGTCTTCTGTTCCATCGGTTGATTGTTCTCACTGTCAGAAAATTCCTCCTTATTTCCAGGTTGAATCTCTCCTTGATCAGTTCCTATCCATTATTTCTTGTCCTGCCTTCTGGTGCTTTGGAAAATAGCTTGACCCCCTTCCTCCTCTCTGTGGCAGCCCCTCAAATATTGGAAGACTGCTGTCATGTCTCCCCTGGTCCTTCTCTTCACTAGACTAGCCATGCCCAGTTCCTGCAACCGTTCTTCATATATTTTAGTCTCCAGTCCCCTCATCATCTTGGTTGCTCTTCTCTGCACTCTTTCTAGAGTCTCAACATCTTTTTTATAGTGTGGTGACCAAAACTGGATGCAGTACTCTAGGTGTGGTCTTACTAAGGCTTTATAGAGTGGTATTAGTACCTCCTTTGATCTTGATTGTATCCCTCTGTTCATGCAATTTAGGACTGCAATGGCTTTTTTTGGCTGTCGCTTCTGTGATTAATGTATCTGGTTCTTTGAAAGAACATGGAATGTTTTTCATGTGGAATGCAGAACTTCTGATAAGGACCGGTTTAGGCCAGCTGAAGGCAAAGATTGTACAAAAAGTTGAACTTGAATCATTTGAAAAGTCATCACAGGGCACTCCTCGACTTATGGACACAATAGAGCCCCAGATTTCTGTTGCTAAGTGAGACAGCGGTTAAGTGAGTTTTGCCCCATTTCACAACCTTTTATTGCCACAAATAGGGACACGGTGGCTCGGTGGCTAGGACGCTGAGCTTGTCGATCGAAAGGTACCAGCACTTCAGCGGTTCGAATCCCTAGCCCCGCGTAACGGGGTGAGTTCCCGTTGCTTGTTCCAGCTTCTGCCAACCTAGCAGTTCGAAAGCAGGTAAAAAATGCAAGTAGAAAAACAGGGACCATCTTTGGTGGGAAGGTAACAGCGTTCCATGCACCTTTGGCGTTGAGTCATGCCGGCCACATGACCACGGAGACGTCTTCGGACAGCGCTGGCTCTTCGGCTTTGAAACGGAGATGAGCACCGCCCCCTAGAGTCGGGAACGACTAGCACATATGTGCAAGGGGAACCTTTACCTTTATTGCCACAAATATTCAGTGAATTAGCAACATGGTTGTTAAGTTACTCCAGCTTCCCCATTTGACTTTACTTGTCAGAAAGTCGCCAAAGGGGAATCACACGATCCCAGGACACTTCCAACCATCATAAATAGGAGACAGTCACCAAGCAAAATTTCCAGAATTTTAATCATGTGACCATGGGGATGT